GGCTCAGAAAGGCTGAGAACAAACAAACAAACTCAATGTAAATTGTTATGTTTGTCTTGATTTCTAAACCTCATGAATATGGGGCATAACCCTAATGTTTGAATGGTGGAGGCTGGCAAGCCTAGGGCCCAATAACCCTTCCTATCAGTCTCTGAATTTGCTATTGTCTCTTGTCTCAGCTGATGTGCTGTTTAAAAGCGAAGCGCATGGTCAAGAGTTTCTCTGCTGTTCCACTACCCAACTATAAGGGGCTTTTTAGTTACAAGCAGCCAGAGTTGCTTCATCCTCTTTTTTTTCTCTGCTTTGTGGGTTGACTTCTAGGCCCTGGAGGCCTCTCAATGCAGCATAAAGGAGACAAGGTAGGCAGCACAGATGCTTCTGTCCTTCAGCAATTCCAATGGTGGTGTGAGGGAGATAAGGAGGGGCAAGTGGAGAGTTCTGGGACAGAGGAGAGTGAGGGGGAAGTGAGGAGGGAGAGACCCGCTCACTTTGAGAAGGTGAAGTGATATGACCTATCACCTGGACAAGGGAGATGAGATTGATGTCATATATCTTGACTTCAGAAAAGCCTTCGATCTAGTATCCCATGATCACCTCTTGGCGAAACTGGCCAATTGTGGCCTTGGGTCCACCATGATCCACTGGCTGGGAAACTGGCTCTGCGGTCGGACCCAGAGGGTTGTAACTGATGGCAGTCACTCATCATGGTGTCCTGTGACCAGTGGGGTCCCTCAAGGCTCTGTCCTTGGACCCATATTGTTAAACATCTTCATTAATGATGTGGACATTGGAGTCAGGAGTGGACTGGCCAAGTTCGCTGATGACACCAAACTTTGGCGCAAAGCATCCACACCAGAAGATAGGCGGGTGATCCGGGCTGACCTGGACAGGCTCAGCAAATGGGCGGACGAGAACCTGATGGTGTTTAACACTGAAAAATGCAAGGTTCTCCACCTTGGGAAGAAAAACCTGCAGCATCCTTATAGGCTCGGCAGTGCTACGCTGGCTAGCACTACAGGAGAAAGAGACTTGGGGGTCATCATTGACCACAAGATGAACATGAGCCTGCAATGAGATGCTGCGGCTAGTAAAGCGACCAAAATGCTGGCTTGCATCCATAGATGCTTCTCAAGCAAATCCTGGGACATCATTTTCCCCTTATACTCGGCTTTGGTGAGGCCACAGCTGGAGTACTGCATCCAGTTTTGGGCTCCACAGTTCAAAAAGGATGTGGAGAAGCTTGAGAGAGTCCAGAGAAGAGCCACGTGCATGATCAGAGGTCAGGAAAACAGACCTTATGACGACAGGCTGAGAGCCATGGGGCTCTTTAGCCTGGAAAAGTGCAGGCTCAGGGGTGACCTGATGGCCACCTATAAGTTTATCAGGGGTGACCACCAGGATCTGGGGGAATGTTTGTTCACCAGAGCGCCCCAAGGGATGACAAGGTTGAATGGTCATAAACTACTGCGAGACCATTTCAGGCTGGACATAAGGAAGAATTTTTTTTACTGTCCGAGCCCCCAAGGTCTGGAACAGCCTGCCATCGGAAGTGGTTCAAGCACCTACATTGAACACCTTCAAGAGCAAATTGGATGCTTATCTTGCTGGGAACCTATGACCCCAGCTGACTTCCTGCCCTTTGGGCGGGGGCTGGACTCGATGATCTTCTGAGGTCCCTTCCAGCCCTAATGTCTATGAAATCTATGAAATCTGTGAAACAGAGAGAGAATCATGAAGAAACAGAAATGGGAGAGATTGCATCCCAGGGAAGGAAATGAAAGAAAGGAAATGCTGTGGTGGAAGAAGGGGCTTGTGGCTAGTGCAGATGATTGGGCTCACCAGAACCAGGGTTCTATCTTCTGCTGTTATGCACACACCCAGTTTTATCCCAGGAAAGCCATGCCATCCCTTCATAACTCAATTTTTCTACCTGTAAAATAGGAACAATAATACTGACCCATTCTCTCCATAAGATGGAAGCACCCTTATGTGTGAAAAGAAGCAACACTGCTAGCATGGAATTCTTATGTAAGGATCTGATTATTCAACAGCTAGAGAATGAGTCTGTGAAGGTGTAATGCACAGGAGTCTCCTTATCATCCTTGCCTATTTGCTTGTATTTGCCAAAGCATCTTGAAGGACAAAAACTTTGCGTCTCTGCACCATTTAAGCTACCAACTATTATTAATATATAGCGAAGAAGTCTTCAGTGCACTGAACATAAATCAGACAGCTTTCACTACTTCTCAGTGCTGATTTATAGTCTGTTGTAGAGCTGCCAGAAGAGCCCTTTATACCAGATAGCTTTTATCTCAAAATAAGCCCTGGAAAAATACCACAGGCTTTATTTGTCATTTTCCCTGGGAAAGTTTTGAGCTAATAAATAAACCTAAGTTATTTTAAAGGGCAGTAGCTTTTCCGAAACTTAAACTGGGGCTGTGGATAGAAACAGCAGCATGTCTACTGCCACACCTAGGTATCTGTAACCTGTCAGTGCCTCCTAAATTAAGTTTCCCAGGATCTGAGAATAAAAACGTATAAACGTGATTGCTTCCTACCAATGTAATTAGCAGTTATCTTCCTAGTAGAAAATTAACCCACCTAAAAATATTTAAACTAGTCACACCAAAAGTTTACCTTAAACTTACTTTTACTCACTCACTCACTCACTCACTCACTCACTCACTCACTCACTCACTCACACAAAGCAAATTCAGAATCATGGAAGAATATCTTTTCTAATCCTTCATTTGTCCTCCTGCTCTGTGCAATTCACATCATTCTATCTCATAATCTGTAACAGAATCTTCTGTTCTGATTTTTAATGTCAATGCTGGCAACTCAGCAGCTAGCAGCAGGATGGTACTCCGTGGATTTTAAAAGAAAAGTCAAATATAGGTCAAGGGAAAAGCTGTTTTCCCTTATATGGTCGGGCCCGAACTCCCAATGGACATTTTAAAACAGCTGTAATGCAGTTTTATAGATTTGTTTATGGTAGCTTGTGGTAGAGGGTGAATAAAACAAACAACATGATGGACATCCTGGGCTTTGGTGCACCCCAGAATCAACAGCCAAAGTGTTTGCAGAGTTCTGTATTCAAGTCTTCATACTACATACATGTATGAAATTGTAATGGTTTACTATTCATCAGCACAAATTGAACCATGTATAGATACTGTAATAAAAAATAATTTAAAAACTTTTAACTCTTAAACTGTTTAGATCTCAGCTCAGTAAGAAGATATGAAGCTCCATGCCCTGAGCTGGTATAAACTGGTATATCTCCATGGATCTCAGTAAAGCAACCCAGATTTACACAGGTGGAGGCTCTGAACTTTTTTTAAAATTCTTATTCTTTCCTTTTTGGGCAAAATTCCCAAGCCCTTGAGACCTGAGTGGGACTTCTGCCTGTAGAATTCAGAATTGAGCCCATCCGGTCTTTAACCAACTAGATAAAAAGTAACTTGCACTTTCTGTTACCTGCCGAGACCTGTGCTTTGTGTTTGGGTCCTACTTGCCATAAATCTCACTACTACCTAAGACAGTGGTTTTCAATTTGTGTTCCACAGACCCCGGGGGGTCCCCAAACTATGTTTAAGGGGTCTGCAAAAGATGGCTATGATCAATCGAAAGAATTTGAATACCTATACTGACAGTTCAAAGGGATCTGCGCCTTCATTCAAATATTCCAAAGGGGTCCACACCTCCATTCAAATTTTTTTAGGAATCCACAGATGAAAAAAGTTTGAAAACCAGTGACCTAAGACACGCAAGCCATGCAAGATCCTGGGGGCAGTATTGGTGCAAACTGCACATGCAGTTAGAATCCAGGCAAGTTTTCATAGATTTCATAGATTCATAGACATTAGGGCTGGAAGGGACCTCGGAAGATCATCGAGTCCAGCCCCCTGCCCAAAGGGCAGGAAGTCAGCTGGGGTCATAGGATCCCAGCGAGATAAGTTTTGATCTATAGAAAGTTTTTTGGTTCATCGTCAACTCCTTAGGAATGACAATCAATGGCATCACTCACTCTGAATAACTGCTGTAGTAAACAAAGCTATAGGCTGTCAGTTCTCAGCTCTTTGCTTAGCTACAGACCACAGTATTGGTCCTCCTCCTCCTACATGTACAATGGCAATGCCAGGGGGAGACAAGCTTGACTTGTTTAGGATTCTGCTTGCCTATCAGCAATGGCTTATAAGGCTTTCCCTGAGTATGAGCCATCTATGTTGTGCCTTCAAGAAGAGATGGCCAAAACTCAGGATTCCTGGTTTGTAGTGACATTGAATGCTGATACTTGTTGTTCTTTTGAAATTCTGGATTCATTTCTGAATATGAATATAGTATTTTAGGCTTCCAGAATTTCACATCAAAGTTTGTTTTATGATATCTTTTTTCTAGTTATTTTTACATTATTTCATGACAGATCAGTAATAGTAGAAGTAGCACCTACTATATGTTGCATCTACTAACATGCCACAGTATGACCTAGTATAATGGCTGAAACATTCTGTTCTGTTTTCTCTGAAATCCAGTATCAGTTGCTGCTTTGCACAGATTGGATTAACTCTCCTGTTTGTTACGGTAATGAAAATGCTTTACACAAAATAACACAAATGTAAAAATAATATAGCAATGAAAAACCCATAGTGTAAAGTAAAAATTTGAAACAAATTTTAAATATTCTGAGGCAAAATTCTAGGATTTTCTGAAATTAATTTTTCCAAAATGTTGTTGGTCTTTTTTTTTTTTCATTTTAAAACTGTCTGGGTCTTTCAGGAAGACACTGGCTTTCAATGGGTTTCAAGGGCTATGCCTAGAAGCAGTTTCTGTACAGCCTTGGTACCTGACTATAGTAACACTCTAGAGTGTTGGGGTGCTCCCAGAGTTTATAAGGTTACAGGTCTACTCTACTGAATGGCTATGCCAGCTTATTAATTTGCCTAGAAATCACAATTTACCACAAGCACTTTGGTAAAGTAACAGAAAAATAAAAGGGTTTATTACAAGGAAGGCCAGATAGTATAAAAAAAGAAAAAGTGTTCAAAAGCTTTGACAACAGACCATGGTAAAACAAAACTAACAAAATCCTTACAATACATTCAGACTAGCACCTAGCCCTCATAAAAACTTCTGTGAAAATCTCCCATGGTCAAACTCCCTCAGTCAGCTAGCTCCCTCAGCCGGAGACCTCCGTTTCCCCTCTGCTCACAGGAGCCCCCTCTCCTGAGCCATCCTCTAATGGCCAATGCCTCCAAGACATTCAAGGCCTCCCCATCTCACCTACCTTCATGGGAGCCAGAGAAACCTTAAAACATGGGTGTCAAACATACAGCCCACGGACCAGATTCGGGCCACACAGCTGGGTTATCCAGCCCACAGCCTTGATGGGTAACCTTCCTGCAGCAGCAGCCAAGCACCTGGGCGAGACCTGGGACACTGGAGATCTGGCAGCACTGTAGGAAGAAGCCTGGCATTGCAGTTTGTTCACACTGCTGCAGCCAAGTGCTCGTAATGCCAGGCTTTTTCCTGCTGGGTCCCAGACCAGCCCAAGCAGGTGCTGGCTGGATTCAGTGGTGAGGAAGGCAGTGTTCTGTGGGCTAGCCCATGGGGCTGGCTTTGTGCCACCCATCTGGCCCATGGATCTGCTCTGCTATTTTGGCCTGTGGGACCAGACAAGTTTGACAGCTCTGTATTAGAATGTTCCTCCAGTGCATCCATGACACTGACAATTTTTGGGCTATGGATCCAAAACAACGTTAGGCATGTGAGACGTCTTCTGTCTCTACACATTTTAAGGGTAGAGTTGAGGAAGTATGTGGCCTTGAGGGAAACAAAGGGGTTAACAACTGAAGACCACCTGCTGGGGTTTTAAGCTTCCAGGTGAGCCCTCCCCATACCATATCTAATTTAGCCCATGTTCACAGGCACCAGGTTGACCAGACCAGTGCACATGGTGAAAGGGGTGTGTTGGGATGCAAGATCAGCACCTGATGATTAACAGCTGGTCACCAGCATCTTGGCATGGTCTCTGACAGAAACATCTGCAGTGTGAATCTGTATGCTTGCCTTTCCAGTATGCTTTCGTCTGCAGCTTGCTAAATCTAAATTGCATTGGACATGTTAGCTTCTGGGGACTGCCAGCCTACGGAGAAGTGTGTTGGACTCAATCTGTGAATGGCACCAAGAGAAGTGGGAGTTTCTATGCAGGGTGGAGCAGGACAGGAAAATGCTTTGGTCTGATTTGCACACTTTGGGCTGACCAGTTTGTGGGCTGCTCTGTCTCACAGTTACCTGGGGTTGGGAAGCCATTCACACCATTTCTTTTTTTATTCCATGACTATTTATTCCAAGTCTTCACCAGGCTTTCAGGACTGCCTGCATAGTAGCACGTCATGTCTAGTCACATTGCAGGCAATCCTAGGAGTGTACATAATTAGGAGAGTTGGGGAGCTTCCATCCATCTTACTACAGGACAAATGCAACTAGCAAGTGTGTTCTACTCAGAGTGCATAATGAACTGGCTTCTGTTGATTTATCTTCCTTATTGCTTCCCAAATACCCTCATCATTCTCCATGGTTGGATGCTGTTTGGATATGTGGTGGCAGTATCATTTAATGGGCCATCTGGAAGGGCAAGAAGCATTAAACCAATAAATTATTGAAGCCAGATTCCTGGCTCCTGCCTCAATGGAGCTCCACGGATTTCAGTCAAGCTCCCCCAAATTAGATGAGCTGAGGATGTGGCCATTTTGTTTCCTCTTAGGTTACTGGAATGGGATTTTACACATGTAGACACTGACGTTTGTTTGTTTGTTTAAAGAATTTGGCCGAAGATACATCCTCAGGGCTAAGATTTTCTCCATACGTCAGTGGTAGCATTTGTTTAATGGAACAGGTGACTGAAAGAAGTGTAGCCTGCCTCGCACAATCTCCTGCTGGGCTTGGAGCCTTCGAACAGTACAACTTCATTACCTTACTGGCAGAACAAGGGAAAGATTTAAAAAATTCAGTTTTAGTTCATGCTCCACCCCCAGTCCTAAAAAATGATTTTCAAGCATGGTGGCTTTAGGGAGCAGTGGGCTCAACTTCTGAGAAATGGCACTGCCATCAGTCTGAGGTTTCTCATGCTGCCATTTGAGAGGGAGCATTTATGAAGAGCAAATGGGGTTGTGCAATACTATCTAATATCTACCTGAAACTTCCAGAGCCTAACAGTCCCTCATCAAAAGATATTTTAAAAACTAATACTGAATATGCAGTAGCTTTGGGATGGATGGGTGAGAGACATAAGCCCTGGGCACTGCCTAAAGGTGGTGGGAGGGGGCACTAGAATGGAGCAGGGGGTACCTCACCCTTCCGTCCCTGCACCTTCTTTTTCTGTAACCATCTGGCTTCAGCCTGGGCAGGAGAGCAGTGGCAGTGGCATAGGAGGATGTGTGAATGAGTGATGCAAAAATTTAGCATTCTGCAAAACATATTGTCAAGCAGCAGTGGACAGCAGCGCAGGAGCAGCAGCTGGAGTTTGCTGCTGCTGAGGGGAGAGGTCACCCCATTTTTTCTGCTGAAAAAACCCCTGAATTGTCTTAAAATAACTGCTGGGCCACAGAGGGGACTCCCACTCAGAGCTGGTCCACCTTGGTTGGAGCTCCACAGCCTGCTGTGGGTGCAGAAATCTCAAGGGGCACATTTATCGTGAACTCATCCACTGATACTGTGACCCCATTTGGGGTTGTGACCCGCAGTTTGGGAACCGCTGGCCTAGATCATCCCGACCAGTGGCTGTCCAAACTCTTCTTGAACACCTCCAGCGATGAAGAGTCCACAACTTCCCTAGGCAGTTTATTCCACTTATTCCACTGTCTCACTATTCTCACAGTGAAGAAGTTTTTCCGGATGTCCCATCCGAATGTATTTTGCTGCAACTTCAAGCCACTAGTTGGCATCCTCCTTTCTGCAGCAAGAGAGAAAAGGTGCTTTCCCTCTTCTTTCTGGCAGCCCTTCAAGTATTTGAAGACTGCCATCATGTACCCTCTTAAGTGCCTTTTCCACAAGCTGAACTTGCCTACCTCCTTCAGCCTCACCTTATATGACTTGCTTTCCAAGCCCCTCATTATCTTTCTAGCTGGTTTCTGGACTCTTTCTAACTTCTCCTAGTACTTTTTACAATCTGGAGAACTGCACACAGTACTCCAGATGAGGCCTAACCCAGTGCCAAGTAGAGAGGCACTATCACCTCCTGTGTCTTGTACTTAATGCTTCTAATGCAGCCCAAAACTGCAGTTGCTTTTTGTACAGCTGCATCACACTCCTGCTTCGTATTGAGTCTGTGGTCTACCAAGCCTCCCAAGTCCTTTTCCAGAGAGCTGCCATCCATTCAGGTGTTCCCAATTTTGTATTTGTGTTTCTGGTTATTTCTCCTGAGGTGTAGCACCTTGCATTTATCTGTGTTGAACTTCATCCTGCACCTTGCATTTATCTGTGTTGAACTTCATCCTGCACCTTGCATTTATCTGTGTTGAACTTCATCCTGTCAGTTCTAGCCCAACTTTCCAATCTGTCGAGATCCTTCTGAATTGCAGATGTTCAGCAATGGGTGGCAAAAATGATGGAAAGGACAGAAAGTTTTCCATATGGAGAGAGATCAGAAAGAATGGAACTGCCATTGTATAGAGAAAAGGTGTGTACAAGACACTTATCTTCACTTCATACAGAGGGTGACTAAGGGGATATTCAGTGGAATTAAAATGCAGCAAATATAAAAGCCATAAAATAAAATAATTTATTTTACACAGTGTACCACTGAACAGTGGAACTAACTGACAAAATATCAGCGAGGCCAAGAGATCAGTAGGATTAAAAAAAGAATTAAAATGAGAGTGCCTGCAGTTACTTTAAATATGATTAAAAATATAAGGCATGTAAACTCCTATAGTTTTAGGAGAATATATATACTACATGTCTTTTAATCCGATCAAATACAAGGTCACTCATCTAGGAACAGAGAACAGGGCCACATTTTCAGGATGGAGGAGTGCATTGTCTAAAAGAGAGAGACTCGGGTGCCATAGTGAAGACCACTCTACACTAACTCTGTGTGTGATGCTTGGGGCTACGTGGACTAAGCATAAACATGGCAAGGAGCAAGGAAGGGACATTACCTTTGCATACAGCATTAAGGAAACCCTTACTGAAATACAGTATCTAAGTCTGGTGTCTATACTTTAATAAGATTGTTAGAGGTTCTGTAAAGAGCTCCACAGATTGATTTGAGGGCTGTAAAACCTGCCATACAGAGACAGGCTTCAGAATAATAAAAATCTATTTAGCTTACTGAAGGAATAGGTTAGGGATGATTTGATCTTAATATGTACTAGGAAGAATCTACACAGTCCAGAGAAGAGCTCAAATATTCATGTAAAATTATTCAAATTATAGAATACATTTTGAAAAAAATCAGAATCTTGGCTTCAGGCATAAAAAAGTTCTAAATTTGTAGAATAAACTATCTGTAATAAAGAATTCAACTGGCTTTATTTTCGACACAGGAAGGCACAATCTAACTCACTCATCACCTCTCTCCTACCAGGGGGATATTCTCCCTTCACTTCCTTGCCAGCTTGAGTCCTCTTTAACCTCACGCTTCATAACTTATGCATTTATGTCGGAAGAGATCAGCAAATCAAAAATGGTTTGGAAATGTAATTATTTGCAAGCTGCAGAGGGCAAGCAGACAGCGCGGGTTGCAGTCCAAGAGGTCAAATCTTTTTAAGGTTTCCTATGGGAAAGTAGTATCTAAACCTGGTGAGATGTTTCAGAAGCAAATTCAGAATCCTAGGCTAGCCACCCAGCTCTGTATTTCTGATATTTTCTCCAGACAAATTATCCTGGAAGGAATGCTGTATTGCAGGGAATTAAGGAGACTTTTTTTTCCACTTCTGTTTCATGGTGGCATTACTGAGAGTCAAAAAGGGACTCCCCAGGGGATACTGGAGGATTCTGAGAAAGAAGGGAAGGGAGAAAGCCTGCTGGTGTTGGCTGTTCTGACCTCTGTGATGCTGGGAAGCAGTAGAAGAAGCTAAGGAAACGTTTACACATGCTCTGGGCTTTAATTAGAACGGCTCTGCTTCAAAATGGTCATGGGGCGCTTGAACTAAAGATTGTTCAATGAGCTTTAGTTAAAGTGCCCCTGCCACCATTTTGAAGCATGGGCACACTGATACACAGGACGTGGGAGACTGCCAGAGTACAGTAATTACCACACTCCAGCAGATTTGATTGACTCTGCCAAAGTGCTGTAATTACAGCATGTCGGTGCAGCCTCTGCAGTCACGTAGAGGCACCCTAAGCCGCTGCCCTTCCCTTTCTTGATCCTTTACTTTTTAAAATTTTAAATGTTTAAAATCTTAGTTCTCATGAAAGACAAACACTAAACAGCACCAGGGCTGGAGCCTCCATGACCCCAGGTGCAGGATTCAGATTTAAGCTGTTCTCTGCACGGAAAAAGGGCTGGCGGCAGTGGGCTTATTTCCTCTCTCCAAAGTCCCCAAGTTGATTCTAAATATGACATAGGAGTCAGTGAGTCCTGGGTCTGCACCCACACAGTCTGTGCTCATGCCAATTGCCAAGGATTCAACTGTGGCTCACTTAATCAAAAGTACATAAAAGGACACTGGTTGCTGTCCTTAGTCAAGTTGGTATAACTCCAGAGAAATTATACTGAAGTCACTCTGGGTTTGCCCTGGCCTATGTGAGAACAGAAACTAGCCCCCTATATTTAGATGTAGCTGTCCATGACTGAGAAATTATGGCTTGGCCTCGAAACATTCTTAGATCAAATCTATAAATAAAAAAGTGAAACATTATTCTGTCCCCTACACTTTACTAAAGGTACTGGTATGAAATATCTTGATATACAAATCTCCACCCTTTGACAAGTTCATTCCTTTTTTAAGAACCCAATTCAAGCATCTTCACTCATAGCGAGTGTTCCTTTTTTGCATTATAGGAACACTTAGGAGGCCGAACTGAGATCAAAATCAGGTACATGCTGAGCTCCTTGGGACAAAGACTATCTTTTCATTTTTCATTTGTACAGTGCCTAGCACAATGAGTTTTTGGTCTGTGACTACAGTTCTGAAGTGTTACAATATAAATTATTTGTCAGCCAGACCAAGAGCTGGCAATCCAAATAGTCAGAAAAAGGGCAGGGTGGGGAAAAAGAAAGATGCTTCTAATAAATCAGTGACAGAGTTGGGAATAGAATACAGATTTCCTGATTCCCAATCCAGTGCTCAGACCGCACTGCCTCCTTACTCAATAGGCAGCCTCACTGAAATCAGCAGGCCTCCTTGCTGAGTATGATACCGTCCAACATTGCAAAACATATAACCAAACAGCAGCCTCAGTCCATCCTTTAAATGCCTGCACGTTGGTATGGTAGCAGTCTGGAAGGAAGAATTAGCATTCTAATGTTTCCTGCCCACTTTGCACTGAGGAAACCCATCCGCTTGGGAGTGTTGTTCCAGTAGGAGGCACAGGAATGGCTCCTGCAGTTCACCAAGAGTTCTAGAAAGTTAAAAATAGCGAGCCTTTCAGCCACGGACAGGGATAGAGAGAAACTTACA